AAATTACATGACGTTAATAATTATATTGTTATATCATTTTATGCTCGGGTCCCTTGATATAATCAGGAGGGAGGAAAATTGAAAAATTAAAAAAAAATTGTCCAATTTAAATTTTCATGAATACATTTTCCTGCCGCAAAGCGGTTACATTTGATATTTAAACCGACCCAAATCCGACGTATCTTGCATTTACATTTAAATTCGGAAGATTTTAAAATAACATTGATTGTTAGGTTTAAATATGCTTAATTGAATGTGTATAACTTAAGGCTGAATTAAGAGAAAGCGTAATTATACTAAAGATATCCCAAATGAGTCATGAATTTTGTCCAAATTAGCCTTGATCCCAAAAGTTTCTGAATCAACGATTTAGAGAATTAGTTTTGATAGGTTTAATCTCTATATGAAATGGGTGTTGGAGTTCGTTGCAAATTCGCATTTGAAATATTAAATGGCAATGTATATGTCCGTTGCAGTTTTAGCTTTGATGTGCATATATGTAATATTTTAATCTGGAATTTAGTATTCGCGCTACGGGTCAAAGCTTAAAATAATATATGGTTTTGTAATAAAAAGCAATGAAAAAATATCAAAGAAATATTAAATTACAATGTTTTCATTATTTTTTCTTTACTATTTATTTGTAATTTTATTCACGTTTTACTTAATTACTTGTAAACTAATAAATTTAAAATATAAATTGTATAAACTACAGAAAATACAACAAAATGTCAGTTATTTTTATAGCATTATCCAGTTTTACGTAACAATTTTCAAAATTTTAGAAATTTTTTCAATAATTGATTTAGATTTGTTTTGTTGATGATTACGCAACTATTTTAGTTTAATTAAAAGACGTATAATGAAATATATTATATATTTTGTACATGTATTTTCTTACATTTCTAAATAAAAAATTGTTTTTATTACATATTTTTTAGTAAAACTGAGAAATATCAGTTGTAAATAATTACTTCATTGATTTCTATTTATTTCATATTCTGTATTTTATTATTCTCTTGGCTTCTCCTGCGTTTCTCATTTTTGTTTATATTTTCATAAAATTCATTCATATGGTAAAAAACATCATAAAACGCAATTACAAAAAGGTAGAAAGGTCAGTACCTTTTACAATATTTTTTTATGGCTGGGGTAAGAAATACGTATTAATTTTCGTTTATTTACAGCTGCCGTAATAAAGGTTAATATTATTACTTAGAACTATATTGCACCAGTGTTTCGCCGAACATAGGTTGGGAAACCGCGAAAAGTTACCTCAACTCATGCAATATAAACATTTACATTACCAGCAATTAAATCGTTTCCTTTTTTTGAAAATGCATTTTAACATTCATTATTCTTACATTTTTATATAAACTTATTAAAATAGACTATAATAACAATAAACTATAATTTTTCAAAATAAAAATATTTATAATATCCATATATAGTAAAAACAATCTAATAATTAACTTGAAATTACTGTTAAATATATTAAAGAAAATATAGTAATTTATAAATAAAGTAGAAGTTTTCAATTATTTTATAGATTTAAAAAGTGAGAGATGCTTTATATTAATTACATTACAATTAGTATTAAACTACTTAAAATGTAATGGTGATTAATAACTAATTTATTGTTTTTTTCTATTAAGAAATCAATAAATTTAATTCATTTTCTGTTCGTATGATGTAAATGCAAATTATGATGTACATAATTATTCTGTGTTGCTCAGTAGTTTAATAACATTGTACAAATTCACGTAATACCTCAATTCGTATAGTATTCAGCTATTACAAAGTTGCAAATAGTTAGAGGTTTAGTAATTACATTAAAGTTTTTGAAAAGTAAAGTTCTTTTAAGTTATAATTGACGTTAAATGTTACATTTTTTTTCAATTTATGTAATTGAATCAATTTACAAATATTGAATAGTGTAAGTAATTTATATAATTAATTAAAATATAATAATCATTATATAATCAGTTAATGCAATATTCAAGTATATTAACTTTTCTAATTAATGTTAATTGTTGTTTTTTAAGAACTTCGATATTTATAAAACATTCCTCAATAAATAACGTACTTATTAACGTACATTATATAATATAATCATGATGAATGAAACATTGTAATTATCTCAAAATTGCTAGAATTTAATGACACGTAATAACTCGCACAACTATTTAATTAATTACATCATATTACATTAAAAATATTGTATTCAATTTAAGAAGATTCATAATAATCGCATGATACATATTTATTTATAAAACGTTTATCAGTATTTCCGATTTCATTATTAATTTTTCAATTAGTTTGAAATCGCATTTTTTTTATTCCAAATAAGTAAATACATATATCATATCAACATTTGGCAATTCATTTTATAAGATAAAAAAGAGAGTGTATCAACAATATCTTTCATAACGTTAGATGTTTTGTTATTTTTGTCTTGTTTTATTATTTTATTACTTCATGTTTTTCAATCTGACACAAAGTCATAATGCGCGGAAGATAACCGAAATTTGAAAGACCATCCATCTTAACTTGTACATTAGAAACTCATGATGATACAAGCATAATTATTTTTTTTAGAAATGTATACAACTTCTTTGAATTTGTTTGTAGTTTAGGAAGGTGAACACTAATGACTTAGAAAGGGTCACCTATATTTTTTACCTGAGACAAATATTATATTACTAAAGAAAACATTCTGAGAAAATGAAAATAAATATTTTGTTTTATTATGCATAAATGTGCAGAATTTAGGAATAATTTCTACTTTCGTGTAACCCAAAGTTTATGATGGTCATCCTTTTCATCATTTTATTACTTAATTTTCTAAAATAATAATAACAATTTATATATTTCAATGGAAAAATGAAAGTTAAATAAGAATAAAAATAAATATTCAGACGTTGAAAATTTAACACCTGAATTGTCCTTTAATGTTAAGAACTTAATTGAAATATTTATCAGTTACTTTAATATTATTGTAAAGTTATTAATTAATTTAAATGTATTTAATGAATAAAAAACGATGTGACTTTTCGCCTTAATTTATTAAATATATTAGTATATTCATTCAAAAAGATTTTGCAATTAATATTGTTATTAAATTTAATTTAAAAGCATTTTCGCAATTATTTTTTTACAAAATCTTAAAAAAATTGTAATTTTCTTTAATGTATTTATTACTAAACTAGAAATTTTTAATTATATATTTCCATATATTTATAATAAATATTATATTTATTTGTGATATTTTATTCATTTTTTTTAGATACAATAAATATAATAGAGATAATTAAGCGTTAAAAACTCTAATAACATTGTTTGTTATTCATGTAGGACGTGTTATTCATATTGTTACATTTAAAAAAGTAAATAAATATACTAAGAAATTTTGCCGGTACTCGCTACATTCCTTAAAAATCCAGCTAAGAATTTTCTAGATCCATTTTATCTATTATAGTTCTTCTTTTTCATTTTTTCAACTTTTTCAACAATGAGTTTCGTGAAAATTTCAGGATTTACAAAGTGTTCCTTTGCAGGAAAAGATTGGGAAACACTCACTGAATATTCTATCACTACATGAAAAATGTTACCATGAATTATAATAATTTATGAAAAAATATATTTAATTCTTACCATTGCGTTTATAAGCTGATACATACAATTATAGTATTAAATCAGAAGATCTCAAAATATGTTTATTATTAAAATTTGAGAATATATTTTGATGGAGAATGGAATGATTAGAATTGGTTACATAATTTTTTGTAATTTGATTTATTATGGTAATTTTGTAAAATGTAAAAATCTAAAGCACAAGTTTTTTTTTCCATTTTCATTCTTTTGTATATTAAAAATTAATTAAGCAATCATAACCTTTATGAGCAAATAACCTTGAAAAATTCCTTTGATATTAATGGTCTTGATTTGATGTTTGATCAATGCAAGGAATTGCCGTAATTTTAAATGAATAAAAAAGTACACATTTTTTTATAGTTTTATTTTTTGTTATTATGTTTGTTGCAATAAATATTATTATTTGTTATATGGTCAAATATATTTTTGAGCAATTTATTTTTATGCGGATTTAAAGTCTATTTTCAAACGGTGCGGTATATTAATTACTATCATTTAAAATGATGATATGTGTACATGAAATCTGTGGAATCTCGCTTAACGAGCATAATCCGTTCATAATCATAATTACTCGTATAGTGAATCAATTTTCCCCATATAAACCAATGTAATATACTATAACGCGTTTCATTATGCAAGTCATTTTTCTTACAATTTATTTTGCTCGTTATGCGAGGTTACACTGTATTTAGTTCTTATCAAAATAATTTAATGTTCATAATTTATTACAATAGAATTGCAAATAAAATAATATTTAATTAGTTTTATTCCATTGATTTATTAAGAAATAAGTAATAAATTGATGTAATTTATAACTATGATATAAATTGTAAAATGGAAAATAATTAAATCCTTCAAAATGATAAAACGAAATTTTGAATGGATTCAGAATTAGTAAAGTTATGTACAATTAAATTTATCTTGAAGCTTACATTTCTGTTGGATACGTGGCATTTACTATTTAAGAGGTATTCTAATGGATTATTAGGCTTAAAATACCGTTGGTTTATAATGAAAAGAAATTTCTTAAAGAATAAGGTTTTTGTAATATGAATAAAAAATGTCATACAGTTGCCAGAAAGATAGAAAAATGTGATGGGATAAAATAAAACTATACAAATAATTGCGTTTGTGAGAATGTAAGTATAGCATTGAAAATGCAGGTATTTTTGAAAAGAAAAAGTTTGTATTTCTTTGCCCCCACTAGTTTCAACCCCCAATAAACGCACCTTTTTTGGCTATAAATACCTGATGCGAAAAATAGATAAGCATCAGTTTTCACTGCAATTTGTGTGCATCAACATCTCTGCTTTCCAGTTTTTAAAAATACTACTACTACCATAGCAATGGCTTCAGTTGAGAAAAATAATAATTCTCTTATGGATGATGTAGATTCAGTGGTGGCTGTAGGTGAAGACATGGCCTTGCAAGGACCATCTGACACGAGCATCGTTCCTGTATATGAGGCAGAGGTGACGGCGACCAACGAATTGGACGATGAGCTGAAGAAGTTAGAAGAGATACAAAACGAACTTCAGAGAGAATACATTACAGGTCCTTTACAAAAAAGTATTAAGGCAGATTTTAACAGTGTGTACGTGGGGAACGTGGATTACGGGACGACGGATGCTATTCTGAAGGCCCATTTCCATGGCTGCGGCATAGTCAAGAGGGTCACCATACCTGTGAACAAGTTTAACGGCACTCCAAAGGGGTTCGCCTACATCGAGTTCTCTGAGCCTTCATCAGTGGAGTTGGCCATGACTTTGGACCAGTCTCTTTTGCGCGGAAGAAAGATCAAAGTGGTCCCGAAGAGGACAAACAAACCTGGATTCTCCACCAACCGTCCGCCCAGAAGTGATGCATTCAGTTACCACAGCAGAGGTACACTCAGACCCAGCAGAGATTACACAGGAAGGATCCCTCATACTCGTAGCTACGGCGGAGTTAGCCGCTTCACTCCGTATTAATAAATTTACAAGACTTCCACTAACTTGTATATAAAGATTCAGGCAATTTTTCCTAGGACAAGCATCTAACAGATTACAAAAGGTACCAGGAGTGGTAGACCCAGCAAAGGTTTTACCGGAAGGTTTGCTTGTCCTCGTGGATACGGCGGTTATAGAGGAAGAGTTAGCCGCTTCACTCCGTACTAATAATAATAATTTTCAGGAAATCCACTTCATAGTACAAGTATCTAACGGATTACAAAAGGTTTAAAGTATAAAAATGTGTATTCCATTAAATTTATTAGTAATTAACTTTAGGACATTCCTGAAATATATTTTGAATAAATAATATATACACCAAAAACACTTTTGATTATTTTTTTTATAACTTTATATTTACAAAATAACAAAATTTAAGTTAAGTTATAACTATTTTTACATTAGAACTCCGTATTAATAACTTTTCAAGACTTCCACTAACTGTTATATAATTAATCAGGCAATTTTTCCTAGGACAAGCATCTAACAGATTACAAAAGGTACCAGCAGTGGCGCTATAGAATATGTAAATTTGGCATTTGTCCGGAGGAGCAATTGAGTGCATTAATTAATCTTAGGACATTTTTTATATATACTTTGAATAAATAACATATACACACAAAAAAACACTTTTGAGTATTTTTAGAAACTTTATAATCATGTAGTAAAAAAAGGCAACAAACGAAACTTAACGTTATACATTTTGTTCAAAGAAAAAAAGAGTACGAGTTGGTTCAAAAAAGAATGTAACATTATTACAAGGCGAATTAGTAAAGACACAAACTATTCTAGCACCAGATACTTCAGAAGTGAAGAACATATAACATATTGTAATATAAACACATATTTTAAATTGTAAATAATTAATTAAAAAACAGTTATGTTTTATTTAAAAAATAGCAAATACTTCATATAATGAAAAAATATTCAGTAACGTAAAATAACTTTTATAAGCTATTAAACATATTTTTTCGTATGTGCAAACTTGAATATAATAAACTAATTAGTTCAATTGTTACTTTTACGCCATTTTTATGAATGATTTCATCGTATTAAACTCAAATTTAAGAATTCATTCAGAATTATTTTCAACACAATTTAATTATGTTGTATATTTATACAAAATAAATTCTGTCTTTTTCTGTTTTTACACTGATGCAATTTGCAGTCCTTTTTCTTGTTTTTTTTTCATTTAATTAAAGCTTGAACACCGAGTAACTCGATTTTATCCCTTTGAATAAAACTGTAACGGTGGATAAAGTTTTATTTAATGAAAATTCCGGTAATCTTTTCAAATGTTATAAACATACTCTCATCAATATATAGTTTATTTAGTACCTATTTGGTTAATAATAATTTCTTATCGATCTAAGTTTTTCTGCTTATTTTATTATTAAATTACAAAAACATAAAATATATAATGACCGACATTGTATCTAAATAGTGTTACTGTGGTTATTATCAATATTTATATCCATTTCTACATTTGTACGTAAATGACACACAAAGCTCATACAAAGGATTGTTGGCTCACATTTTTCCATTCCAATTTATATTATTAGCAATGGCGTTAAAAATAGTTACAATATTTAATTTCCAGAAAGAACTTTGTAGCAGTTAACTTTATGTTTCTTTTATTATTGCAATAAATATTATTGTAATAATATACCAACTTATTTCACATTAAACTTCAATGTAACAAACAATAAATTATACGATGTTGGGTTTGGTATGTGAAAATTGGAATATTGACAACAATATCTTGTATTCCTTTGTCTTGTTCCTAGAGAAGTCACTAATTCCTAAAACCTTTGCATGTGTGTGTACTTGACATGTTCACTTGACAACAAAGATTTTTTTGTTGATATATAAAGTGAAAAACTATATGTATATCATGTATTTTAATAAATTAAATACATTCAAAACATAAACTGTACTTCAAGTGTGTTAAGATAGAAGTTCTAATGTAAAAATAGTTTATAATTTAACTTAAATTTTGTTATTTTGTAAATATAAAGTTATAAAAAAATAATCAAAAGTGTGTTTTGTATATATAATATACCAATAATATATACTAATAAATTTAATGTAATGCACATTTTTATATTTTAAATCTTTTGTAATCCGTTAGATACTTGTACTATGAAGAATTTTCCTGAATCATTATATACAACCTAGTGGACGTCCTTAAAATTATTATTATTAATGACCGCCGTATCCACGAGGACGAGCGAATCTTCAGGTAAAACCTCTGCTGGGTCTACTTGGGTGTACCTCTGCCGAGGTAACCACTTCTGGGCGGACGGTTTGTAGTCGAGAATCCAGGACTGTTTGTCCTCTTGGGGATCACCTTTATCTGTCTTCCGCGAGAAAGCGATTCGTCCAAAATCATGGCCAATTCCACTGACGAAGGCTCAGAGAACTCGATGTAGGCGAAACCCTTAGGAGTGCCGTTAAACTTGTTCACAAGTATGGTGATCCTCTTGACGACGCTGCAGCCATGGAAGTGCGCCTCCAGGACGGCAGGCATCGTCCCGTAGTCCACGTTGCCCACGTACACACTGTTAATGTCTGCCTTAATTTTAGCCTCCAAAGATATGTTGAGAGGACTCACCGTTCTAATTAATGTAGTAGCACTTGTGTTGAATTGCTTCTCAATTTCGTTTAACTTTTTCATCTCATCGTCCAACGTCCAATTATTGATTTCGGAAGCCATTGCTAAGAAAAGTAATATTTTTCAAAACTGGAAAGCAGAGATGTTAATACACACAAGTTGTAGTGAGAACTGATGCTTACCTATTTTTTTGCGTTTATTTGGGGTTGAAACTACAGAGGGAAGAGAAATACCAATTTCCTCTTTTAAAAAAATCCTGCATTTCCAATAGTATACTAACATTCTAGCAAATTTTATAATGAAGCGCTTTGTTTGTAAGCAAAATTACAATTTAAAATTATATACAATGAATTAGTTTTATTATATATTTCTAGCAACTTCATGAATCCGTTCTTATATATTTTCTTGTTCTTAGCAATAAAAAACAGAACCAAGTGCAATTTTTTTGTTCTTCATCATTAGTGAAAGTTTTACCTTTTAACGAGCTTTACGAACTTTTAAACAACCAAGTTCCAATAATTTTCCATGTGTTATTAAATATGTGTGAAGTCTTACATTGACTTGGTGGAAGAGGATTCCCTTGCAATTTGCCAATTCTGGTTTTTTCCATATTTGGTTTTGTAACGTGGTAAAATAGACAACGCTGCAACTACGCTCTACGGGGAAACCGCAGCGAACCGCGAAAGAAGACGGTCGAGGTCTCCAGTTAGGAAGATATTTGATATATATTTGCAAGTTCCAAGAGGACGGTGTTGGTGCTCTAGAGGAGCCAAGGCCCACCGTCGGAGAAGAAGTGTGCTGATCTAAGAAAGCAGTTATTAGAGTTCTTCCTCTTGATAAAAGGAAGTGGCACCCTGAACCTACCCACGTCACGGACTCACGCCCAGCTGGTGTAGAAGATTTGTATATTTTTTTTATTTTTGTACACGTCGTGTTACAATGTTGAAGTCGATGAAAAGAAAATAAAAGGTATTGATTGAAGCAAATCAATCGAATAACAACACGATTTATAAAATATTTCTATTTTTTTATATAACAATAAAAGAAACGAAATTACTTTTCGAACAGCCAAAAATATGTATAACAATCCCAAAATGTTAAGAATAAAATAAGATTTGGTAGGTTTAATTATTTTGACAAATCATCACTGGATATATTTTTTAGGTATAAATTCTTAAATTATATAAAAAGGATAAAATTAATCTGAAATAGAATTATTATCTCTTGCAATTTTTACTTTACTTGCATTTATGTATGGAATTTTGTATTTACTATTCAATTTTTATTTTGATAGAGAAATGCTAAAAATAACGTTGGTTTATATTCAGAGCAAATCAATTTTCTGAATGACTAAGGAAACATAAAAGATTTATGAAGAGATTTTTTTATAATTTATTGATTGAATAAGAAATGGATATTTTATTTGGTGATAAATTCGTATTATTTTATTACTTAAATAATATTATTAATTAACACATGTTTCACATTTGATATTTACTATCCATAAGTTATTTCTGTAGAGAAGCTAAAAATAACTTTCGTTTATATTCATTGGAAAGTAATTTTCAGAAAGAACAAGACAAACATAAAGGATTATTATTGAGCAGATAATCAAATTAATAAAATTGATTTTTATCATTTTAATTTTATTTTCATATAGAAAAGCTTCGTGTATATTCATTGAAAATATTATTTTTTTAAATCACATGGAAAATTAACAAATAACATTAATGGATAAATAGTAAAAGTAATTTATTGTATAATAGAAGAAATTGATATTTTGGATGATACATTTTATTTGAAAATCTAAAGAATAATATGAAAATGTAATTATATGTTATTAAAAGGTAAAGCCCATCGACAGGATAAGTTACATATGAAATCATTAATTCACATTATATTTTAGCCTTTAAAAGGCAATATGCAATATTCTGAAATTTCAACTTTGATGTGTATATTCAGATTTCGAAATTACTAGTCATGATTTATTACAATAGAAAAAAATCTATTGACTGATTTTTTTTTTGCAATTTTAGCTTTACCGTGGATATTCATGTTGCAAACTGAAATTTATTTAGTTTTATAATAAGTCAAGTGTTTCAATTAATTTGAATGGTACAAACGTAGAGTATCGAATACTTGCAAATTGTTCAATTAATTCTTTCTTGACTTTCAATTTATGTAAAAAGATGAGACTACTATATATTTCATTAATCGACTTTTGGGTTATTATGTAGAATTTAACTAAAAAGAAGAGTCTGAATATTTTATTGTTTGATTTTTTAGTTCTTGTTTGACGTTGAAAACCATGATTTGCCTTTGAAAACACATCTTTAATACCATTTAATTTTGTCTTTTTCTGTAAAATTTATGTAACATTTAAGTAAAAAGAGTAAATTGAAAATTTCCACTTAATCGTTTCAAGAAAAACATCGTTAATACAATTTAATTTCGTCTATTTATGTAAAATTTAAGAAGAAAAAGAAGACTATTTTATAATTCATTGTTCGACTTTTGAGTTTTTCTTAGAGTCTGAAAAACTGTTTATTTGTGTCAAATTTACTGTATATTTAATTGTTCGACTTTAGAGTCCTTGTTCGAGGTTGGAAACCTTCACT